TCCACCTTTTTCGATCGAACTTGAACTGTTGCGTTAGTTAAGAGCAGTGCTCTCACACTGCGTCAAGAAACCAGTACCACCCATTTGACCTGGACAATGCCTTTAACATAAAAGTCTCCCAAAACATTGTTTTTATAAACTGGAGATCTTTCGGCATGGTGAATGCGGCAAAAGCGAGTAATTTTCGTGCATTTGCATTTTGTGCCCAAAAACGCCTCCGTCAGCACTCATCGCAATGGTGAAAAAAACTGTTCAAAAAGCGCAATCACTTTCCCTCTCATATTTCGAAGTTTGTGTCAACTATTCTCGTACTAATGTTCCGATTCAATAAAAATCAATGATCCAATGATTCTACGAAACACAAAGGATGTGTGCATGACAGCTGAACAGAACGTGCAAGCTCGCGATTGATAATGGTAGCTTAGGTAAGACTATGATAATAGAATACATACCACTCCATTCCCGTTTTTAGCTGGGGATCCTGAGCGGCTTCGTGAGCGGCTTCTGCTCATTGAGCGAGAACGTGAGCGAGGCATTCTGTAAAAGGGTATTTCTGCAACATAGAAAAATTTTCCTAAAATACTTCGCGAGTAAACGTAGGCAATTCCCTGTAGATGCAAAGCGAAGAGGAATACGCTATTTTTGGGTTGAAGTTGATAACTGATAACAAATTCTGAATCACTATGCTAGCGAAATCTTTACATGGCCATTAAACTTGACAGAAAAACATCCAAAACGTCGTCTCACAGAAAAATTTACGAGCGGTGACTTGGCCAGGAATTAATAGAAACCGGATGATAAAATAAGAGTGCCTGAGAGACTTCACTCTATGATGTTGATACTATGACAATGCAAATGCAAGGCGTAAACAGAGACAATCCTCTCTGAGAAAAACACCGACCAGACTGTAATCCTGAAAGGCACAAAGTAATCTTACTACAACTCTATGAATACAGCATCCACGCTGGCAAGCAACACGTTTAGATTTGAGTTTTGCAAATGATAACAGTATTTTCGGAGATCGACTACGATCATTGGCACGAATTCAACAAAGGTGAGAATCTCTTTATTCATAGATCGGATAGTTAATCATGCTATACATAAACTACACAAGAAGACACGCCAGCGCGACTCCTCCTTTATTCCAATGTTGACATAGGCTACTCTAGCTGATCCTCTTCTTCTATTTTTTGTGCTTCTTCTTCGTGACTTGAAGTAAAGATCTCATTTCCTTGGCCTTCTTTATCTCGTCACTCTTCTGCTTCTTCCTTTGCTCCTTTAGAACCTTGTAGTTCACAGGTGTACCTTTCGGTGCGTTTCCTCCCAACGATACCTGAAAAACATGCGCAATTTGTTGTACATCCATAATATCACTATAACATTGCATGAACAACAATGGAGATGTAACAGATTTGTGTGAGTACATAAAATCGATAGGACAGCTGATGTCACATTCCAATTTTTCACCTTTGCTTACATTGGTGATAAGTGAAAGAATTTCTGGTTCTCCATACATATCAGCACGATATGGAAATAACGGAGCCCATTACTAAACTGTTTGTGTTATAGAATTGGCTTTTCCAAAGAGAAACGCCTTCTGGAGATAGTCATACCCTGCTCCCTACCACCTCTAGGCGCCTAATAAGCTAAATTTTGGTGTTTGTTTACGAGTTTTTTACATCCGTGATAGCAAACGTGATATAGACGTGGAAACGTCACAGTTCTGAAGTGCTCAGGCAATCTAGATCTGTCAACTAAATTACTATCAGCTAGTTCCAAATGCATCCTTCCTTGTATGAATCTTGCAGCATAGACAGATTTGCAATCAAGTCTCAAGTCGTCAAAGCACCTTGGGTAGGTGCCAGACT